TGTGAAGCAGGATCATTCCTTTGTATGCCTTTCAACTTTATTGATAAAATCTTCCAGCCAAGGGCCCTGTTTCTTAAAGCCTAGAGCTATTCTGTGGTTTCTCAATGATGTAGGATCTGGCTTCTTCTTGTCATTTATCTCTTCCTTTAAATGTGTGTTTATTTATTTTGTATGTGCGTATCTATGTGTGGCTTTGTGTACATTCTATGCTGTACATGTAGAAGAAAAAGGACAACTTGGAGGAATCAGATCTCTCTTTCAAACATGTATGTCCTAGGGATCAAACTCAGGTTGTCAGACTTAGTGGAAGATGTCTTTTCCATCTCACCAGTCCCCTCCACTCCCTACCTCCACGTGCCTCTTATAAAAGAGAGCTTTTGGCTGACTGGCCTGAGTACAGATGTGATTTTCATCTAAGTATAATCATTATGGAGTTGGAATTATCATGGTGAAATACAGAATGGATATATTGTTATGGACTTTTTCTCCTCAAATAGATGGTTTCCCACTGAGTGAGTGTCTGTCATAAAAATATCCCTTTGACTTATTGTGCAAGTTATATCAATATGCATGCACATGATCTTGGATAAAATAACACCATCAGTATGTCCTTAGAAATTTTTATAAAGTTACTTGTAATTTTCATTTTAACTTTTGACACTTTCTCTCTCCAATAAACAAAAGTAATGCCTGATGTTTAGTTACAGTAAAAGGAAAAAAAGTCATTGCCTTGACTAATTTGAAAGGTACTCTTCAAGACAAAAGTTGGGCAAGCCACTTGAGTACGGACTTCACAGCTAAGCACTCAAACTCTTTCCTGGGGAATGTTTGGTTCTTCTATGAGAACAATCACTAAAGGGCATCTTCCCCTATTGCAGTTCCCAGAAACATCTCATTCCATATTACCTTACCATGCACTCTGGACTAGGCTTCTTCCTCAAACTTTCCCAGACGCCATCATCTCTCAAAGGGACAGAGAAGGTGAGGACAAAAAGGGGAGAAAAGGATGCCCTCAACAAGAGCACCCCACTCAATCTGGTAATCACAAGAGCCCAGTAGCTGAAGCTGCCCTGCCCCATTCTTGTTATGAGCTTTAGCACTGTGATGGTTAACACTGATCGTCAACTTGTCAGGATCTAGAATCACCTAGGACATCAAGTACTAGGTACATCTGTGAGGGAGTTTCTAGATTGGATAAATTGAGGAAGGAATTCCCATCCTGACTATGTGCAGCAGTGTCTCGGGGGCTAAATTAAAAGGGGAAAGCAAGCTGAGTACCACTTCCTTCTCTTTCTGCTTCCTGACTGCAATCTGCTGTGACCAGATGCCTCGGGTCCCTGTCACCATGGCTTCCACACCACGATGCACTGTACCCTTAAACCATTAGCCCAAAGTAAACGCTTCCTTCCTCAAGTTGATTTTAATCAGTTTGCCACAGCAATGAAAGAAACAATGAATACAGCTACCAAGCATTTCCTTTGCTTAATGTTCATAGCTATAGGAAAGCCGAAAGAACTCTTCAATCACAATTCACATGCATAAAAATGAAATCTATTCAATAGCTAACATGAGGCTCATATTCCCAAATCAATGAGTGTATCAATCTCTCTGTCTGTTACAAATTCTTTTCTTTTCTTTCTTTCTTTTTTTTTTTTTTTTTTTTTTTTTTTTTTAACAGATTTTCTCTGTAGCTTTGGAGCCTGTCCTGAAACTCACTTTGTAAAACCAGGCTGCCCTAGAATTTACAGTGATCCACCTGCCTCTGTCTCTGCCTCTGCCTCTGCCTCTGCCTCCTGAGTGCTGGGATCAAGGGCATTTGCCACCACCACACCTGGCTCTGTTACAATTTCTTTGGCCCAAGACCCAATCAAGGTCCAGTCTATTTTAACTTACCAACAACAGAAGTTCATCTTGTTCTTAATATCATCAAACCCCTAACAGAAGACTGTCATCTTCTGGTAATGCTGGGTTGGGTCACCAGGGTGAAATTTTACTCTACTTTAAGGTTCACTGTTCCTTTACAGGCTATACTTTAAGGCCATGTGAATATCCCATTCAGTGACAATGTTTAACTAACTAGTTTCTTAACCAGTGATGAGCCTATCTAGAAATTCCAAAACTTTTTCTAAAATAGTCAATGTTCTAGAACAAGCTCCCCTTCCCTCTATGCCTGTCAGGTTATCACTAGTGTTGAGTATTTTTTATTATTATTCAATATATCATAATGCACTGTAGGTTGAGTGTCCATTATCTCAAAATGTTTGGAACAAGAAGAGCTTCAGATGTTGGAGTTGTTTACACTTGATTAGGGATATTTGTATAGATTTTACCAGTTAGACATGTCTATCCACTAAAATTCAAAATTCGAAATGTTCCAAAATCTAACGCATTACTAGGCTCATAAGACTGGGGCTATTTAGCTGGCATATATCTTCAATCCCAGCACTCAGGAGGCATAGGCAGGTGGCATTCTGTGAGTTCAAGTCCAGCCTGGTCTACAGAGTAAGTTCTAGGACAGCCAATACTGTTTGTTACACAGAGAAATCTTGTCTCCCCACTGCCCCCAAGCCCCCGCCAAAAACCCAGAAATAGAATGGCGCTATTTAACTTGTACTGATCTTAATCCTTTTGGTGTTCAAGATATGCCTAATTTAACTAGAGAGAGCTGTCATGGCTGGAGAGATGGTTAAGAGCAACTTCTGATATTCCAGAGGAGCAAGGTTAGATTCCCAACACCCACACAGCAGCTCACAACCATCTGCAATTCCAGGTCCAGGGATCTGATGCCTTCCCTTCTCTGACCTCCATGGACACTAAAGGCATTTGGTACACAGACACACATAAAAGCAAAACATGCATACACATAAAATAAAAATAATCTTTAATAAAAAATAAAATAAAACCACCCCTGCGGCCTTGGCTAGGATCTCACTGGTGCTGCCTGAATTTCCAGAACCAGCACCACCTTGTGTTTCCTGCCTCCTGGAACCAGCATTCTTCCAGGCACTGTTGGTGAGACACTTCCTCCCCTTTGAAGCAGGTCAGAGGTTACATCCTCTCAGGACTCTCTGGCCATATCTGTGCTTTCCTCCTCCCTACTTCCTCTGACTGTCATATGCCATTTGCATCATCACTGGTTGCTTGTTGACTTTGGTAGAAAGTGAAGAAGAAGGAGCTGCGAAGATGGCTCAGTTAGCAAACGGCTTGCTGTGCAATCATGAGGACCTCAGTTCAGATAAGCTCTCTCTCTCTCTCTCTCTCTCTCTCTCTCTCTCTCTCTCTCTCTCTCTCACACACACACACACACACACACACACACACACACACAAAAACCAGGGTGAATGGGTGGAGAGTAGAAAATCCCTGGAGCTCCACGGCAAATTGGCAAGCTGTGGGTCCAGACAGACACCCATCTCAAGAAATAAGGCCAAGCACAGCTTGTAATCCCAACACTCAGGAGCCAGAGGCAGGCAGATGTCTAAGAGTTTGAGGCCAGATTGTTCTACACTGAGTTCCAGGACAGTCAGAAACACATAGAGAGACCCTGTGTGACAAAGGGAAAAGTAGTCTAGAGAAATGGCTCCGTGGTATAAGCAGCACTTGTTTTTGCAGAGCACCCAGATGTGGTTCCCAACACCCACATGGTGGCTCACAATCATCCATAACTTCAGGTTCAAAGGATCTAGCATCCTCTTCTGATTTCTGAGGGCATCAGGCACATGTGTTGTCCATACATACATACATGCAGACAAAACATTCTTACATGTAAAACATTCATACATGCAAATTAAGTTTGAAAATTTTGAAAGAGAGAGACAATAAATAAAGTGGAAGATACCCAATGTCTGTCTCTGGCCACCACAGGCACATGTAGACATACATGACCACCCATGCGCGCGTGCGCGCACACACACGCACACACACACACACACACACACACACCGTTGGGAGAAGGGTGCCATGGGACAGGAGAGATGGACACAATACTCTTGCCAGTCTATGAGGAGCCTCCTTGTTTATGGTTCATTGTATTATTGGTTAATTCAAAAGTGAAGCTTGCATGTCAAGAAGTCACAGTCTTATGATTCTACCCATGAAATGTATAACCCATTATTTCATTTTGTGTTCATATAAAATTCCCACCATAAGAAGGACTGCCAAGTGTCTGGCATGCCTATCCCTTTCTCTTACGCTGTCTCTCCAGAAAGTACACCATTATTCTGTTTTGCTTTCATTCTCAGCCCACTAGAACATAACCTCCATGAGTGACAGCCATTGCCTTATTAACTGCTATGTTTACCGCTGAAGTCCTAGTGAGTAAAACTTAGCAGGTGCCAGTCATGGCTTAGGAATGAGAAAATGGCATCACCTGAAACAGAGGTGGAGAGGTAAGCAGATCCTCCCATTTAGTTGTTAAGCCTACACTTCCGCCACCTGCCAGAGTCACTTAGCTATGTTCCCAGATAGGAACACACGGGACATGACATCACCACTGTTTATTTATATACCTGTCCCACCTGAAAAACTGCAAGTCCCTCTGATGCAAAGGTAAGGTCATGGTTACCTGTACTGTGCCAGAACCACTCCAAAAACGACACAGGTTATAGATTTCCCCTTGTATCCAGCCAAGAGCATACTCAGTTGCCTTCTGGGTTCTTCCAGCCAGCTGGAGCCAGGCCTCCAGCGGGTTGCTCCAGTCCCAGCAACTCACAAAAGGCCCTTTGAGTCTGCCGCACCAGGAAAACCACCTTACCTGCCACAGCACCTGTCTGTCACCAAGCCCACTGTCCCCACAGCTGGGAAGCTATACAGAGCCACAGTGTTCCCCCAGGAAACGAGGGCTGGGCACAAGGCTGCAGTGACAGCTGGGAGAGCAGTATGGAAGCCTGGGGCCTCTTCTTCAGCAGTGACCAATGCATAACGTGGAGAACAGCCCTGAGGAATGGAGAACACAGTAACACAGAAGACCAGCCACAGGCCCAGGCCTCCAAGGGGCTCACCTGATCTTTCCTCTCAATCTTCTTTTCCGATTGCTGGGGCCCTGGACTCTCTGGAGGCACGGTCAGCCGCAGTCTGCAGACATTTGCCTAAAAGAGGTGGAGGGCAGTGCAATTAGGATGAGTGTTAGGGCAGAAGGAGCCAGAGGCCCTGGCCTTTCTCTCTGCCTACTTCACAGTAATGGGATCATCGTACCACACCGATCACACTGGAAGGAGGCTGAGTGAGACCAGCATGGCCTGGCACAGGTGCCCACCAACATCATCTGCCAGCAGCCTGCTGCCCAAACAAGGAGATATTAAATACCTTCAGAGTTTCAAACATTTTTGAGTCAGGGTTTCTCTGTGTAGCTTTGTAGACCAGGCGGGCCTCGAACTCACAGAGATCTGCCTGCCTCTGCCTCCCCAGTGCTGGGATTAAAGGCCTGCGCCACCACCAACTGGCAGAGTTCTAACATTTTTAAATGGCTCAGGTTTCATAACAATATGCCTAAAATGATCTCATTTCACAGCCACAATTCCACTAGAGAGATAGAAGCCAAATTACATAATGCTGTTACCTCTTGTCTAAAACTAGGATTTCTGATGATGGGGTAGGAGGTATTTTGTACTTTTCTAGCCCATGCACTTAACTTTCCTACAACAGACTTGGAAATGTTAACGACGGGATTTTTATTTTCTATGTTGTGTGTGCATGGGTGTGCATGCCACAGCATGCAGGTGGCAGGACCAAGGGCAACTCTGTGGGAATCAATGTTCCCCTTTCACCTTTATGTGGGTCCGGGAGGTCACACTCAGGTCAGGCTTGCATGGCAAGGAGCCCTTCCCTGCTGAGCCATCTCACCAGCCCAATCACAACTCTCATAAAGTTTCTTTAACCACATTCACACTCATCATTCACAGTAGGTAGACGTGACTTAAAGGTCCATTGTCACATGGAGGAGCCTCCTATATGCATTCAGTAGAATACTACTCAGCTTTAAAAAGGAAGGCAGCTCTGCCATAGTGAGACATGGATGAACCATGCCGACACACCGCCTGAGACAAGCCAACTGCGTAAGCGCAAAGCAACCTTCTAAACGATGTCACACTCATCGAGAGGGCAGTGGAAGGTGCTGCCAGGAGCTAAGGACATTCAGAAGGGGGAGTTAGCATTTGCTGGGACCAGAACTTCAGTTGGAGAAGATGGGAGAATTGACAGTGGTGTCAGGGCCCCGATACTGTAGATGCACTCAAAGCCCATCAACCTGTACACTTAGAAGCAGCTGAGGTGACAAATGTAATGTTTTAAGTATTTTAGAGTTGAAAGAAGAAAAGGCCGAAGCTGCTCACATTTGCTGAAAATTCAAAGAGATGTTTACAGAAAAGGCCGGGGACCAAGGACATAATTGCCAAGGTGATAACATCTGTCAGCTTCATCGGCTACACCGTGAGCACTTATCACAGACCCCTGAGGCGCTCCTGTCAGGTTATCAAAGGCTGTCAATAAAGTTCACTGAAAGTTGGGAATATAGGCCGGGAATGGTGGTACACACCTTTCATTCCAGCACTCAGGAGGCAGAGGGCAGAGGGCAGAAGGCAGAGGCAGAGGCAGGCAGATCTCTGTGAGTTCAAGGCCAGTCTGGTCTACAGAGCTAGTTCCGGGACAGCCAGAACTACATAGTGAGACTCTACCTCGAAAACAAACAAAATATAATATATACATATATACACATACATATATATACATAAATGAATAAAGTTCCCATATAGCTTTCAAAAGGCCAGCACTGGGATGTGAACCCCATGGGAGAACTCTGGTCTAACAGGCAGGAGGCTCTGGGTTCAATCAGTACTGCACAGTTAAGCCAACCCAAGGAGAGAGAAAGTCTACATTGCACTATTCCTCTTCAAATTAAACTCAAAAGCAGCATGAAAGCATCCACTGAGGAGAGCTACAGCTGTGTGATTTGACAAGCGGCTGGGGACAGCGGGGGATCCTGAGCACTCATTTCCCCGACCCAATGAACAAAAACCAGACCAGTATACCAGTGAGTGACAAGGCAGTGCCATCAGTGTGCTATGCATTCACAGTACTTGCTGTGTGCCAGGTACCAGCTAGGTTGACCCTAAATTCATTTAATATTGAACACAACCCTATGGGAAAGGTCCTCTTACCAGGCCTACTGAGTGATTAGGAAGTTGTCTCTCACAAGGGGAGGGGGTTGTGGAGGATACAGCAGAGCTAAGATTTGAACCTGGTCAGTCTACAGAGCCTGTGTTCTTCACCTTCACATTCTCTGCCACCAAAATCTCGAAACACTACATGGGCTTGACTCATGGGAGGACTACATGTCCCCTATTATACATTAAGTTGTGTCCCGCTATAACTCAATGTATGTCCTAACTCCTAGTACCTGAGAATATGGCCTTATGTAAGTATAGGGCAGTGGTTCTCAACCTTCCTGATGCTGTGACCCTTTGATACAGTTCCTCGTGTTGTGGTGACCCACAACCATAAAATGATTTTCGCTGCTATTTCATAACTATAATTTGGCTCCTGTTATAAATCATAATGTAGGGCTGGAGAGATGGCTCAGCCATTAAAGGCCAGGCTCACAAATATTTTTGGAGATAGAGGTTCGAGAAAAGAGTGGTGAACCACAAGCTGAGAAACACTGGTATAGTGTATTTTGCAGAGAATACAGAGTCTCATGTATTCTAGATTAGTCTGGGACTTACTATGTAGCTAAGGATAACCTTGAAATTCAGATCTTCCTACACCTATCTACCAAGTCATGCCTGGTTTATGTGCTGGGAATGAAACTCAGGGCCATGTGTATGTTACAGGGAAGCTCTGTCAACTGAGCTACATGGCACCTTTACAGAGTCAATCAAGTAAAAGATGAGATCACAGGGGTAATCCTTATCCGAAGTTATTGGTGTACTCATAAAGTTCAGATACAGACATACAAGGAAGATTCTTCATGGCCATTAAAATGCTCATCTAATGCAGGTTAGGCAGTGCTGGTCCTTAACCTCAGCTACTTGGGAGGTAAAGGCAAGAGTAGGGCAAGCTGAAGGACTGCTTGGTAACAAAATAAGTCCAAGCCAGCTTGAACAACTTAGTGAGATCCTATCTCAAAAAGCTGCCAGGCTGGACTTGGTGGCACATGCCTTCAATTCCAACACCCAGAAGGTAGGGATGGAGGAGCTTTGTGAGTTCAAGACCAGCCTGGTCTACATAGCAAATTACAGGCCAACCAGGATTTCAGAGTGAGATCCTGTCTTTAAAAACGAAACCAAAACGCCATTGCCTGGCATGTACAAAGTCCTGGGTTTTGCATACTACTATCTTCTCCCATAAAACGATGAGGTTTCAAGGTACCTTTCCATTCTACTTTCTTCTCAGAAAGCTTCATATCCCAGTGACCTCAGGATGGAACTGGCCTGACACCCAAGGCTATCTTTGTCCTGGCCACCTTTACAGCCAGCTTTCAATGCTCACAGTCAGACATGTTGGCCAAGAGGACAACAAGCCATTCTACCAGGTATCTCTTTCTGGATGGACAACAGCACTACTGGAAAACTGGGTGTCGCCTGTGGAGAAAAACAACCTTCTGACTACAGGCCACTCCACCCAGCTAAAACCAGACTGGCATTTACAGACATTAAAGTGTAAGCCACACCAGGTGGACCATGCAAATCTGTGACTCCAACAGTGACCATTTCTGACAGGCTGAATCTAACCCAGAGAATATCTGTTGGCAGATATCTGTGTATGTTGTGTCACACCCCATAAACATATGGGAGGATGCACACACATGTATATGCACTTGCATGCACAAATGCACACATGCACACAGGCTCCAACATCTACTAGCTAAGTGGCTTTGGGAAATTTATTCTCTGAGTTTCAAGAGTAAGATGAGATTAAATGGGAGGCATGCCTCTGAAAATGTTGAGAGAAAGAGAGAATGTGTGTGTGTGTGTCTACATATATACACACACTTATATTTGAAAGTATGGACACACACGTGCCACAGGTGTGTCGGCCCTGGCTACCATGCTTGAGGCAGAACATCTTGGCTGTCTGCAGCCACACACACCAGACCAGCAAGCCTGTCAGTCTCCAGGGATTCTCCTGCCTCTACTTTCATCTCTTTGTAGGAGTGCTGAGTTTACGATTTTTAAGTGGGTCCCAAGGATTCAGACTCAGGTCCTCACATGTGCTCAGCAAGTGCTTTACTGGCTGAGTCACTGTCCCAGCCCTTTTAAAGTATTTTTATTATTATCCAGATACTATCACTGTGCCCTCAACCTACACGCTCCAAAACAAAACAGGTTCACTTGGCTTCCTGACCCTCATTTCCATGCAAACTATTTGGGCAATGAGATTTGGGACATCAGATGGTAAACAATGCCTTTTTACTGGATGGTGGATCCCAGAGGGGCATTCCCTAATGGCCATAGTTTTCAGGAAAAAGACCTCATGCATTAATTCATCTAAAGGTGAGAGGACTTTCACCATTGCTGAAACCATTCTCCACTGGCCCTCCAAGAACTCTGACATTCCTCCACACACTCCCAAGTGGGCAGCTACACCAAGTCATCAGACTGGGCTGTGAGCCATGCCCACCCTGAGGTCTACAAAGCCATGAGTAAATGCAATACATAAAAGTGAAATGAGCCTGCAAAATAAGAGTTTTGGCTTCAGCTCCTGGGCAGTTGCAGCAGGTGCCTGGGGCTACACCCTCAGGTCCTATCTGAAGCATCTGCTCTCATCAATAGAGAGCTTGATGGGAACAAATATTATTAATAGACGGTGACCCACCGATGGCCCACTGTCAACAGTACATAAGCAACTTAACCCCAGCTTGGAACAGGATCACACAGCTCCCTAACAAACCCATGATCCCAGTGAAAAAAGAAAATTGCAGAACATGTTAAGACTAATCCTAATTTTGCTTTTAAACGCACTCTTATAATTAATACAGATTTAAAGGAGATATACCCTTAAGGAACCACAACTGTTAATGCTGTTTATCTCCCCCCACCAAAAGTGGGGGGATTTGTGTGTTGCTTGCAACTGTTCCAAGTAGTTTTTAAAC